ATACACACATATATGTAAATGAGAGAATTTTGATAAAAACTAAAATAGCTTTTCGGATGTAATAAAGATTTTTCTTTATAAACCTCTATGTAATAAGAGGAAAAAGGAGAGGTAAACAGACTCTAACATTCTATTTGTTGGGGATACTGGCTTTAGGCTAGTCTCAGAGCTGGACACTAGATAAATCCATGGCTGTAACTGCAGTTTTGAAAGAGACATGCCGTTATAATTAAAACGCAGTTGCTGTAACATAATTGCAGATTAATACAGAAGTGTAAAGTGCACCCAAATTCTAGATAAGGAGAGCCCTTTGTAGTGGCATTATACCTAAATTAAATAAAGTTTACGTAGTTCCCACAGTTAAAGCAAAAATCCATAACCTACAACCTCTAAATGTAGTTACTCTAGTTCAAATGGGCAGACAAGAATCTGTGCTCCCTCAGCACAGGCACAACCTATGGTTTTCTTCATATAACCTCATTACAGATTTTTCAAATGAAAACTTTATTTGTGAGTTTAAAGGTAAGGAAACAGATCTATGTTAAATGATGATTCTAATGACTGATATTTCATTTACTACTTTTGAATGACAATTGCATATTTAACGAGCTTAGAATTTTCTATGTAAATTCAAGCATTTTAGGGCATTTTGAATATAATATAATCATTTGGGAGTTGTCTATGTTTCTGAAGTCCAGCTTCTTTTACTTGAAAGCCTCATAATAAAACACACATGTTCTTGACAGACTCGCCCACCAAAACCATGGCAAAGAAAGGCATTTTATTTTAAATTCAAATGTTTGTGTTGGATTAATAGCCCTGACAATTTCAATTGCATTATGCTGAAAAACTGATATTTAAACTATACGGAGCAGGAATTCACTTCTATCTATATCCTTAAGAATTCTTTTTATTACAATATTCAAGCTAGAAGTGGACCTGTGATGAAAAATGACCTCTTAGGACAAGTTAGAATAATATCTGGGCCCAAATACCGAATGCGCTGATGAAAGACTTTTTTCTTCCTCTCAAGGATCTTGACCAATCATGTATGAATACCAAAAACAGCAAACAGAAAAACAAATCACAACAAAAGCATCAGAAAGAACCTTATATTTGTCCTAATTAACAGAAACTAGGTCCATTGATCTCCACCAGGAGCAAGCTTTGCCCTCAGCCAGGGAGGGAAGAGACGTTCTCATGCAGTGTGATGGCTGCCCCCCAATCGGTCAGTCCTCTGGCCCCCTGAATGCGTGTCTGGCTACTGAAAAGAGAAGGGGACCAGCTTTCTCACACAGAACATCTTAAACAAGGGAAAAGAGCTGTCCTGCCCCACTGCAGAGCCGAGGGTGCTTTGCCTTTCTGAAGGGTAAGCACCGGCTGAGAACCGTTGACCCTGGCGGTGCATAGAGATTCCAGGACCCAGTGGAGACAGGCGGTAGCAGCTGGGCCTGGTGGGGATGGCGGGGAGAGGGAGAGGGGAGGAAGTGGGGTGGTGTTGACCACATAGCAGAAATGCCTGATAGAGGCTGTGAGACTCTCCTTGGCAATTTCCAGACTTAGAGGTAAAGGAACAGCAAGTCTGAGGTCCTGCATCAGCGGGGGCTGCACCCCAACCACAATTTGCCTCTGCAGCTGGTGGATCCGAGGGAAATTCGAGTTACATGTAAATGAACAAATGAGTAGGCATGGCGGCCTAAGTCAGTTTGCAGACTCAGGTTTATTTATGTTGTATTGATTTGATTTTTCTAAAACTAAGTTGAAACTAGAAGTGCTTCTAGTTTGGAGACAAAGTACTCATTTGCAAATGTGCTCTGGTATTTTGTAGCAACTCACATAGAACTATGAGCCGTGGGAGATGCAGGAATAGCAAACACTGTATGCCTTCTCTTCGGGAGAGATATTGGCTGCCTTAAAAAACATCCACCGGAGTTTTCATAAATAAAACATAGAGAAACACCCAGGGGGTAGTTTTCCCCTCTGGTATGAAAGGAATTAGTGTAGTGGATAGAAAAGGAAGCTGTGTATAAAACCCTCCAGAGTGTAGCACATGGTTTTCACCCTGGGGGGCTGAAAATACCAAAGATTACAGTCCAGTGGTGAGATCGCAGGGGAATGTGTCAGGAGGGGGCTGGCACACATGTTTAACCCTTAGGCGGCAGCGTGGTTTTCATAGCGTGTATGTGTATGATCTTTTCTGTACAAATGCATATTCCATAATGCATATATAAAGAAGGTGAAATACCGATGGTTACTTCGGTCAACTATGATGCACGCAAAGAACAATGAAAAGCAGAAGAAAATGTATGGGGTTACAGTGTAAAATGGGTTAGTGAATTAGGTAATAGTCTCTTTTAGATCAGTAGGATCCAACCTTCTCCTGATCCAGAGCTTCTCTTCTTGCCTGGAGTCCTTTTTTAGGGATACGATATTGTGGGACATCACAGACCAAGGCAGAGAGCGCATGTACATCCCGTGAGGTGAAGGAGGGACACCCATGGAAACCCTTGTGATCAACATCGCCTCTCAGAAGTGTTTGACAATGACTGCGACCTTGCCCCAGACCTACCAGGGCTGGAGATTACGCTGCTACAGGACCAACCAGCGTGACGCCCCCAGTTATTTGAACTGTCCAGATCATTGATGTGGGACCCTCACTGTGCCTCCAATTAATTTCATTCATTTAAAAAAAAAAAGTCAAGAGTGATCATGTTGCTGATATATTGGTATTCTTATCTCATTCTTATTTTTTCACTCCTAAGAAACTTGTAATAATATAGTTCTTGGTCTTGGAAGTTACACGAGTACAGCATTTTTTATTAGCTGGACAGTGATATAAAATAGTTGTATGTTTTAATGCTTTATTCATTACCAAAGCTTGTGCTGTATGAGAGCTTGTTTCTATCAGAAGCTGCATGGTGGCATAGTCATTTCCACTGGGTTTCTGAGACCACTACCAGAACCACAAATATCCCCCAAGGTTCACTTCTGCTAGTATTTATTTATTTATTTAAGTTAAAAAAATACTTTGTGTGCAGTATGGGGTATTCCACCCCACCTCCCCCATCTTGCCTGAGTTAAGAATATACATTAAGTAGATTAGAAAGGAATAGAAAGTTCCATCTTAATTTAGTCTGAGATGATGTGAAGAGGTGTGTTCATCATTGTTGGCTGTGGAAAACCTCCACAAATAACAGGTTCTTGGTTTTAAATATAAACGCATATCGTATTTAAACTGAAATATAAATACAACATTGCTGTGGTACACAGTGTAGAGATGCCCCAAAGCCACAAAGAATGCCATAAGCCATTCAACCTACATAGTATCCAGTAGAACATACAACACCAGAAGCTGGTGTCCAACTTTTCTGAGCAGGGAGTGGAGGACGAAGACACTTGCTAACAGCTGTCAGGCGTCTGAGTAACTTCCTGCACTTCTTCCAAGAAAACTGCTGTGCTTCCTAAATATCTTCCCCAACATACATTTGTCCTGAAACACTTTGTTTAAAGACATGGCAAAGTGCTTTCTACTTCAGTGCCCAATACTGGGATTTTATTCATTGGTACCCTACTTCATTTCAAAAGATTTGAATAGCTACAATGAAATTGAAGGGAAGGAGAGTATATCAACTCTCATTCCTTCTACTTCTGTGACATTTCATTAAACGACCAAAATGTCTTCATCTGTAAAATGGCGATCCAGCTTAAGACTGTCTGCCTCACTGACTGCTGTGATGAGCTTGTAGATCTGGAAAACAAATACATTGTAAAATGTTACACCATGAGACACCATCAAAGGGCCAGACACCTGTGGGATGGTGAGCAGTAGTATGGGGACGACAGCATTGTTGGGCTCTGCCAGAGAACTGAGGACTTTTAAGGTCGCCTAAGTTCCTTGAGCACATTGGTGTCATGTGTGGAACAGCCTTTCTGAGTAGCCCTCAGTGCCCTGGATAACCCCCCCCCTTTGAACTACCCAGCACAAGAGATAAAAGAAACCAGAAACATAATTTGGTTTTAAGTCAAAAGTTATGATTTTATTTTTAATTTTAATATACCAGAAAAAAATATTTCTTTTAATGTCATGAAGTAAGCACTTGAAAATAACAATTCTAACATTGCTGCGGTTTGCTCTGTGAGGCTTATATGGATGGAATTCTGTCTGCACATAGGTCCTGGGGCCCCCAAGAGGCTGAATCTTCCAGTGTTTTTCAATGTGGCCGCAAGTAACCTCCTGCCTGAACATGCCCAGACAGGCACGCCTCGGCAGCACTACTAGGCTACTTCTGAAGCGGTCTTGATTTCTGTCCACTGGGAGAAAAAGTCTCAAGTGCTGTCAAGCATTAGGAAAACAATAGCGTTTACAAACTAGCATGAGTCAGGACCCCTCAATCCTGGCCTTCAATGTGTTGCAAATATGGCTTGACCTTGATTGATGAGACATTTCTTTCATTTAACCAGATGCTTCAGAAATTTACTACACTGTAGCTTGGGGTTTGGATTTCCAGTGAAGGGTCTCTATCTGATCATAAAAATTTGCCTGCCCAGAGCCCACACATGGTGTGCTCCAATTGCCTGTCTCTTTAGTGCCAGAACTTGTGTCATTTTTTTTTTAAGTGTGATTCAGAATGAAGGGAAGCCTGCGGATTATTTTTTCAAACCCTTTCTGTGAGCCCTGAATTTTCAGTGTCTGAGGATGAAGAAAGTAACTTGATGATTCAACAGGCCTGTGAGTATTCTTTGATGCTCTGCAGGTGTGCTTCCCTGGCCTCTGTAGCTATGGGTTCTGCCATATGGCTGGAGGATGTTTACATTGGTCTGTCACAACTGGCATTCAAGAAAATGCTATACCTGCACCGACACTTGTTTTGCTAAAGCATCGGGTACCAGCACACAGAGGCTGTTGGTTCCCTGGAAAACTGGGACCTAACACTTCCTACCGATTGTCAGCACAAAATAAGAGTATCGTTGTTTTATCAGCTCTCATTCACTGCAGTGCATTCTTAGCAAAATCTCTTGATGGTAATAGGTCTGAGGCACAAAGAATCTGGTCTTGTATGTAAATATAAAAGGGTCAGAAGAACAACTTTAAAAAAGCTACAAGAGACAATGGCTCACAGCATGAACATAGGTTCTACTATCATCCCAAACTGATAACAAAATATTTATATCAAAAACAAGAAGAATGGACTACTGTCAAGTTCTGGGCTTTCAACATGAAATTCTTGAACAATTGTACTTTTCAGGGCGGAAACTTTTGTCAGGGAAGTGTCTAAAAAAGACAGACGTGGACCACGCACATAAACTCAAACAAAGCACTGAACTCTGGGAGGCAAAGTCTGTGATCTTCTCCACTCTCCTAACAACTCTCTTGAATCAGCAGGTGGCCAAATCCAATAAGCGTGTTAAAGAACCATTAACTATTGTAAATTGGAAAACCCCTCAGGATGTGTGGGAGCTGACTTCAGTTGTGTAACACACACAGTCACTGAAGAGGGGCTGTTCTACCAGGGTAAAGAAAAGATAGTAACCTGAGCATGTTGTCTCTCCCAGGTAATTCAGCAGTCTGGGAATGAGGCCAGACTTCTGGAATATTCTACTCCAGTGTAACTGACTTCAGGCGATTTGTTACTCTGATGTGACAGGTTTTTACCTCATCGTGAGGATGCAACATCTGATTTTTAAAAAAAATTTGTGAGTCTCTTTCCTAGAAGTGTTCTTCCATTCAATTCTACAAAAATCCCACTCGAACTGAGTTTCTGACTCAGTTCAGAGCTACATTAGCAGACAGGTGAAGTGACGGAGATGTATGTAATCAATCCTCTTTCCCCTTAAGTAATATCTATGTATTGTCACTCCCCTCATTTTTGTAGTGGTCTGTGATTAGAAGGATGTGAGTCAATTGCCTGGAATAATTATCTCAATACATGATTTATTTGGTAATTTCGCCTGGCACTGGATATGAATGTAGCACTTGCTCTTCTCTCATTAGTAAAACTAAAGGTCCAGATAAAACCTCCTGCTCTATAAATAGAGCATTTCTCACTGGAATGCTTTTCATTGCAAACTCATAGATGTGGGTTGATGCTCAGACCTGATAAATCAAATTGCATATACTTATATGAAATGAAGGATTTTTTTTTTCAATGCAGGAATGTTTTCACCTGCATTGTGAAATAATTGGAATGCAGTGGAAAATCTTCAATAGAAAGATAATCGATTGCAGCATAGTGGGGCAGCTATAAAAACTTGCTTGCCCAAGTTTTTCTGGAATGTTAACTGACAGCAGGATTAGCTATGTGGCAGTCAATTCTCTGGTAGGTTTCAGATTGGCCATAGACTAGTGATCCAGCCTCCTATCTTGATATAAGTAAGCAGTTAAGCTGAGATGTTAAAAACATTGTACTGAACCTGTAATATCAGAATTTTGTTTTTTTAATATTTTTTTCTCCTCCCATGATAAACATCGGAAATGCCTTTAGATATATTTAGCTAATTTAAAAACAATTTATTAGACATTCAACCTGTAAACAAAAATTCTAAATTATTCCACAAGAGAACACAAGTATGAACCTGCATCAAAATGAAAGTGCTTGGGAATCACTTAGTCTATTTAAGGTCTATGCTCATTTCCTTATTTTAACCTGTACTAAAGGATCAATGATAAATCAAATGGATTAAATAATTAAGTCAAATCAACCAGATGAGCTCTAACTGGTCGTACAATTAAACTTAAGTCAGCTGTTATTTGATCTTTTCCTCATTTTAATTATTCTTATTTTCTGTTATAAGAAAAAAAAGCTTATTGCACAGTATCTTGTACTTTCAAAGCTCAAAGTAACATTATTTGCATCCTAAGAATCTATTAGTTGTTATAGCAGGACTTCTCTTTTCAGCTCGTGTCAGCTTTTGTCCTAATAATAATACATTCCTCCATCAATTGTTTCTTATCTACGAACCAATGTCAAGACATCATAGACTGTTCATAATAATTTAACACAGATTAACAGCTTCCTTCTTTGCATACCCCCGGCCCCCACCCCAGTCTATCAGTCATGACTTGGTTTGCATGGATTCTTTGTTTATTGTTCAAACCATTCACACAGAATGGAATAAAACTTTATTCTAATAAATTCCACACATAAATGAGATGCTGAGAAAGCCCTTGTCATCTCTGACAGAGAAGCAGAGCAGCTCTGTTTCATGAATGACAGCACAATTAAAGCTAAAATAATATAAAAATAATTTGAAAAAAATCCCTTTTACTGCACACTCTCAAATAAAGCAAGAAAGATAAACAATAGTTTCTTTTTCTGCTAGCCAGAAAATGTGTTTCTATTCATTTGGGCTTTGAAATTCAGTGTACCCCACATCTGTGTGCATACATGTGTGGTTATACGTGTATAATCTATGCAGTGTAGTAGCCCCTAATCTTTTCAACTAGTTTGTCTAATCATTACGCTATTTAACCAATTAGAATACTATTATATCACATTGAACAACTTTACATAATTGCTTCTTTGAGATACTAGGAATGTTTACACATTTATTTGGCTTGTAAAGGACTGAAATATTACCGATATTATATTATCTAGCTTTTTTTTTTTTTTTAAAGAATATGGCTCTTAATTGATTTTTCTGAGTTCCAGAGCGAAAGTCCCTTTAAAAAATTTCTGAAGCTGACTTGAAGCAGGAAGAATGTCTTCTGATTTGGCCAAAAATAGGACATGAATTTTATATCATCTAAAATTTGAAGGATAAGTCTGTAGGGGGCCCTTTGTTGTCAACTGTTCCAGCCAAACTTCCCATGAAGTGTTTGTTGAAGTATCTCCACTTGACCAGCAGAGGGCACTTTACACACCTCTACATTGCGTAGGGAGCAAATGCAGAAGATGCAGAAACACAGTGTTCACCCAATATCAGAAAGAGCCCTGCAGATTTCTTTTTGAAATTCACAAAAATATAGAAAATATGGACTGTACACACAGGGTTTCATGTAGAAAGTAATGAGTACGTGTGAAGTCAAACAGGGAGGGGTATACACTGTATTGATCTTCGGCTCACTTCTTCCGTCTTTTCCCTTTCCCAGCTCAAGAATGGTATTGGGTCGAACCTTTTCACATGTAGTACAGAATCCATTTTCAAACCATTTGGTTGCGTTTTATCTTTTCTATTCTGTCTTTACTCTTCTGTTCAAAAGCCCGGGGCACCTGAACCAAGGATAACGCTTCATATCTCATTTAAGAGTAGAAATTACTGTTAAACTATCAAATGCTCTGAGATGGAGCTGCCCCTTCCAGCACTGAGCTGCACTGTTTCCGTCCTCCCAGAAGGGCCTCGGAAAAATATTGTGCCCCATTTAATTTTGGCAAACTCGTTAGCCTGAAGCTGTATTGTGAAGGGAAACACACGAGTCTTTCTTAGTTGAAATATAGTTGTTTATGTCCATTTTCATAAGAGGTGATTAAGACATCTTTTCTCATGGGGGCTACAACTAACCTTTCTTAAAAGGCTTTAATTTTTGCAAAAAGCATTAATGTTCTAGATACACACCCTGTGTCTCTTCGATTTTTATCTATTCTATTGGCTCCAGTTTAGTGTCAAAAAGATTAGAAAGGATTGTGTGTGCATGTGCTCGCACAGTTTAAGTAAACTTCTTTCATCCGCAGAGAAATATAACACTTAGTAAATACTTTTCATACAGTGTTAATAGCCTTTGTTTGCGTTCTATTTCTCTCTCTCTCTGTCTCTGGCTCACTTTTGCTCTCATTTGTCCTAAAGTTGACAGATAAAGAGGGAATAGGGTCTTCTAGCAGCGGTCCTTTGAGATAGAGGTGCACTCAGTGAGTCCTCACCCAAAAAGGATCATAAACTTACTGGGTTAGGTCAACCTAATTATCCCTAAGCTGCCTTGGGTTTGTTTGCTCGTGTTTTGTTTTGTTTTAGCTGCACCATATGTGATTCCTTGTGCCATTTTCTTTTGTCTATTATTTTTCTGGATGACCCTGAGCTATGGCTTCCTCCTCAGTTCCAAAACTATTCAGCCTTCGTGGTTTTCCTCATCTTGCCGATGTAGGCCTCAAAGAAGAAGTGGCAGAAGAGCACAAGGTAGCTGAGGTACATGAGTGAGGACCAGAAGATGTTCTGAAAGTGAGAGTGACACTGGTCATGCTGCATCCAGTAGAACACCAGGTAGTTAATGACACAGCCCATCAACATCTGAGTGATCTGGGACAAGGTGATGAACATGGCAAACTTCCGGGAGACTCGGAAACCCGCTGCTCGCAAGGCATAGTAAGAGTACATCACGGCGTGCACGCCATAGTTCATAGTCATGAACCAACCACCCCCGGCAACCATGTCCTTGTAGGAGTACCAGGAGTACAGGAGCACAGTGATGTGGTGGTACCAGTGCAGGAAGATCAGCTTCTGCTTCCTCAGAATAATGAATATTGTATCTCCTGAAAGACAAATGAAGGAAAGAATGTCCATGAGCCCCTGCACCATGACATAGTGATATTTTCAATTTTTGCAAGAAAAGTAGATCTCCTGAACTAGTCCTTGAGTGTTAGAATTGATATTTCTAGCTCTGTGACCTTGGGCACTATGTTCCAGTTTCCTCATCTGTAAAATGGGGATAATAATAGTAGCTTGGAATTGTCTAAGCATTAAATAATATCATCAATAACCACATGGTAAGAACTTAATAAGTGTTACTTTCAGAAAGGTGTTTTGCACAAAATTTCATTAATGTTTGATCTGGAAGGGACATTATTAGCAACCATGCTGCCTGATTTCCAACTCCATCATACATTTTAGGAAATAGCTCCTGGAAGAGTCAAGTGACCTGTCTCAGGTCAGTTATCAATCAAGAGAAACAGATTAGAATTCAAGTGCCCAGCACAATGTTCTTAAGCCTCTCTGGCGCAGTAAACTATTTTTTTTTTGGTACTTGACAAAGGGACCCCTAAAAACATATCTTTGTAAGCTCCCTGTAAAACGTGATGGCTTGACAGATGGCAGCTAGAAAAGTAAAATTTAAACAAAAGGCAAAAACAGAAAAAGAGAACAAAAGTCATCTTCTACCATATTTGCTGAAGAGGATAATAGGAATATTTTATAGCAATGAATCAAGTAATAAAAAACTAAGACTGACATACATTTTTATGGAGTTAACGTTGAAAAAGCTCTCCAGAGCTATCAAAATTTTGTTAACACTATCCCTTTTCTAAGGTAGGGAATTTATATTATAGAAGCTGGAATTATGCTCAGGTAGCTATATATCTGCAATGATTTTCTAAGAAGTTTAGGGATTATGAAAAATATACTGTAGAACAAAATATGGTATTGGGTTACATAAAAATGGATAAAGAACAAATATACCCAATTCCATTAACAAGTACAAAAAAAGAGGAAGAGACACTGGGAGGTGGGACAGAAACAGGGTTTATACAGGAAAATGCTTCATTCTCTATCCTATCTTTATAATTCTCAGATATGGGAAAAACCAACATCTTTCATGGCCTTTGGTGAACTCAAGCTTGACTTTTTTGTAGATCAAAGAGAACTAGGTGGCCTCTCTTCTTCTTCTGAAATTTAATTAAGTACAAAGGGATTTAGACTTGTTCCTGTCTTATCCCTTATACTTCAATGGTACCCTAAAACATTTGGCACAAGAGAAGGTCAATGAATGCTGAACCTCAGAAAGACTTTTCAGGTTCTGATGGCCATAGCTGGAATAATACAGGTGGTGCTCTATTTCATTCAGCAGGAGGTATTAGTTTATTTCCCTACTGAGTTGTTAAACATCATTATTTCATATTTGCTTAGAACAGAAAAGTTGCATTTCTGAACCTATTATAAAATTTTCTTTGAAGTCCTCTTTTCTCTTGTGAGATACCTGACATATTATGCCTATAAATGTCAGACGGGCTCATAATGATTGATGGTGATGGTAACACTCACTTGTATACTTAAGGGACAAAACTGGTGTTAGGAGACCTGGGTGTACATCTTAGTGTTAAACTGTGCTATTTTTGTGTGCCTGTCAAAGATCTACTATTTCTATGTAATTATTACTCTATGCCTCCCTTCCCTCTGTAGATGATCATGTAGGCACAATAATTCCAGCCCACCTCTGTTCACAGTGGAAAGAAGGTAGAAGTCCAAGGAACTGTATGTTAAAACAAATTTAGTCATTCATAATTGAGATGTCTTTTATGAACATCTAAGCAATAACTAAGACATAAATCCCACAAAGTATCCAAAGATACTGTAACAAAAGTTATTTGCCATAAAGTAATAAGCATTTCATTCTTTTACAGTCTTATAATTTTGACTCTACCATCACTTTTATATTAAAACTTTATTGTCTAAAGAACAATTTCATTGTAAGGAAAGTAGGCGGAGACAAAAGAAAAGGCCGTATTAGGATGAGCTAATGTGAATGCAAAGTGGAACCTACAGTTCTGGAATTGAAAATTGCTTTGTTTTTCTTGTCTGAGTGGGGGTCTCAGGCTTGATTGGTGACACACTAGGTTTTTCCATTTAATATGGGGAGATGGGAATGAATGACATGTCATGAGATCTTCAAAATGAAATTAATTTGAATTCACTTAAAAAAATTTTTTTTCCCCCCAGAACAGGTATACAGCATGTTAGATGGAGTAATGAAGATGAGGATCTTCCAATAATGGCCCTGGAGCTTCTCGGGAGTACCACTCCACAGCCGTATCAAGGTTACTGTCCCCAAGAAGACCGCTGACCATAAAATGGTAGTTTCCCTTGTACGAGGGAAAACTGGTGGGTTCCAGAAGGGCTCCCCAAGACTTCTCAGGGTTCATTTGATACTGTATCTGAGATTAAACAGTCAGACCACTTTAGCAGTTACAATTATTTTTCTCCCTCTAGAAAACCACGTATTATCACATTTGATTTCTTATGAGCCATTCATGCCAAGCCATGGTATTTACAGGCTTGTCAAAAGCTGGTGTCCTAGAAATGCAAACTAAAGATAGGGACTGTGTATGTGATGTTTCCCAGCCAAAGTTCCAGTTGCCATTATGGAAAGGATTTTGGCTAAGTTTTAAGTATTTGGGACTTTTGCCTCCTGAATGCTTCAGGAATGTCACATATTTTAGCTGCCCTTGGTTTGTGTTCTCTTTACCACCCAGTCTCTCTAGCTTTTGGTTCAACTATTTTCAGTCAAGAGCCAGGCTGCATGCAGGCAGGGCATGGTGTGTTCATACCTAGGTGTCCCTTCAGCACTTGGAAATCTCCAGGGCCACCAAGCGTCACAGAGAACCTACTCTGTGTGTGGTTTGTCACAGACTGCTGCATTCCTCTTAGCAGAGTTAGCTGGAGCTCTGCTGAGTCAGAGTTTCAAAAATAAAGACAAGTTCAACTGAGTAAAGACCAAGACTCAGAGCAGATGTTTCCAAGTTTTAACAAAACCCAATCTCAGCAGGTTTTAATATAATTCAAACAGCAGGCGTTCCAGGATTTTGGCACACAAGGCAGGTTGGTGGCTCTCTTCCCCCAATTTGTTCTCGTAGATTGCAACCCTATAATTCATTGAAATGAGCTCATTGATTTCTGCTGAAACAGAATGCCTTTCCTGCTATTAAGATTTTAGTGAAGAGGGAATGGTGAGATATTATTTAATGGGTAGAGTTTCAGTTGGGGAAGGTGAAAAAGTGCTAGAGACGGATGGTGGTGATGATTGCAAATGTTCTTTATATCGTTGCCCTGTACACTTAGAAATGGTAAATTTTATGTATATTTTACCACAGTAAAACAGAAAGTTTAGTGAAAACTGCAGGCATGCGGGGTTGGGGGGGAATATAGAGCTTCAGTATTGAACAGGGAAGACATGTTCTTTTTTCTTGAAAGAACTTTTCTTCCTGCTGCGCAGAAGCGAGTCCAGAATCTGTAGTGAAAAACAGAACTTGGGACCTAAAAATAAGAAAAGTTCTAAATAATTCAAATGGATAAATCTTTCTTAATAAAACAGTAGTGACAAGGTTTTCTAAAGCAAAACCTGGGAAGGAATTTTACGCTCAAAACAAACAAAAGGGAAAGGCATCCTAACAAATACATTCACTAAAGGAGGGCTGGGGCTGGTTGTCTCTGAGACACTCCATTGGCACTGATTTTTGGATCTGTTTTTGATTCAGCACTTATTTTGGGAAGGCTACTATCAAATTCATATTTTAAAATGAAAAAAGGGTACTTGGACCATGAAAATATCTGTATAAGGAATTTGAAACTCTATGAAGAATATAAGCTCATGGTAGATGCTCAATATAAATTTATTAAATGAATGAATGGATAAATCGATACTAATGCATTTCACTCTAAGACAACACAGGCTGTTTATGGGCAGGCGCGTGTGCGCACACACACACACACACACACACACACACACACACACACACACACACACGACAGGGATCTAGTTATTGTGGGCTGAGTGGAGGAATCATCTTCATACCCATGCCCCTTACATAAGAAAGGTTTTCAGAAAAAGTTTTCTCCTGCTGCTCTTCCCTTGTCTTTCACCTGGGAAGACACTGGTCAAACCAATAGTTCAAACCAGTTGTCAGGTATCTATAGGCAACAGGTGTACCGCACTCAGTGGAAAGTAGGTAGGTTGCTGACATATATCAGAGACCTTGTAGCCCTTGTGGATAGACATAGGACATGAACTACAGCTACCTTACAGAAAGACTGTTGATATCTTATACTGTAGATGGCTTATAATGAAATTACAACCTCTGCCCCTGTTTTAGGGAAAACAGGGAAGAGAACACAATCTGTAAATAAATAAATACATACTTAATACATACAATTTTTAATTCCAGATTTAAAAAAATTAAGAAACCCAAAGGATAGCTAGGTTTTCCCGAAGGATCTGTACCAGTTGTGAGACAGTGGTCCGCTCTGCTCACAGATGAACTCAGTGCTTATTATCACCAGTGGATCCCTTTCTCTGGCAATAAAAATATTTTCCTGGGGTGCTGTGCCATGTCAATTCATTGCCACATAATTTTTCACTGTTTCTGCTATAACCTGTGCCAGTTATATTCAAGTCCATCAAAGAGTTGAAAGAAAAATCCTAGGAATCTACAAATACAGCCAGTTATTTTAAAAATTGGGTTTTAGAAGGTGAACTACATTCCTCTTCTCCAAGGCGCCTCTCTTTCTCTCTCTCTCTCTCTCTCTCTCTTTAAATAATCACTCTTATTTTTGATTTAACTTTTTAATGTTGAAATAATTTCAAACTTACAGAGGAGTTGGAAGAATAAAACTAAGAACTGTTGCATATACTTCAACCATATTCACCAGTTGTTATCATTTTGCCCTATCTAATTTCTCTCTTTACACACACACACACACACACACACACACACACACACACACACACACACTACAAAATATTTTTCCTGAACCATTTGAGAGTTACTTGCAGAATCAGGCCCTTTATCCCTACATACCTCAGTATTCATTTCCGAAGAACAAGGCCTATCTCTCTGATGATTAAAATCAAGCAACACCAAAAAACCAACCCTTAGCATTTGTTAATGAAAACATGAGGATACCCAAATGAGAAGCTTAATTTCCTAGTCTAAATCCTAACTCTAGGAATGGAAGTATGTTTTGACATGGGACTTGGAAGTAGTCATGTTGCTAATTTTTCCTCATATTCTAATATTAGCTGAGCTACTAATGGGTCTGAGAGAAGAGGCTATGTAGATTTTATAACCTCCTGGAAGTGCATATTTAGTAGTGCTTGGAAATCTGCATGTTTCATGTAAATTATTTTGCTCTTCGTATACACCATGTACAGTTATTTAAAAGGAGGAAGAGAGGAAAGAGAGAAAAAGTGAAATTAGTCGAGAACTCAAATTCATTCATTCTAATTTTCCTGCAACCAACAAAACAGGACCTTCAAATTGTTTTGTTTGTTTGTTCACTTGTTTTAAATAAATATTATGGCTATGTAGCTATAAAGGGGGTAGGGGAGGAGGACACGGACTGAGACAAGACACTCACCTAGTTCGGGTGCTTTGCTTAGCACAAATGCATAAGCCCAGAATTTGCTGACAGGTCCATTGTAAAAACTCTGGTCACAAACTGACTGCTTCAGGCCTTTGGTCATCAAAATGTACACCATATAAGCACCAGTTCGAAGAGCACCAAATATACTTTATAATGAAAAGAGAAAAGAAACAACATTTAGGAAAATAATTTCACTTCTGACATTAACCATACTAAGAAGGCTGTCTGCCATTGGTGGTCAATAGGCACAGATGAATCCTACTAATTTGCATTTACCCAGAAGCATCTTAAAATGTTCTGTGAATAAGAGTAGTAAAACTTCACAGGGCTTTATTCTGAAGCGTATACACAATACCACTTATTCTTCATCCTGTACCAAACAGAAGTCATGGAAAAGGGGAATGGACCCAGGGTAGGACCACATGAAGCACTCTGGTGACTTCTGTGTTTTAGCTTGAGTACTATGCCTTGGGGATGAGATAGGGTTGACTGAAAACTCTTGGAATTATCTCAGTTCTGTCCTATGCCTAATCATTCTCCAAGGCCCCCTGGCTCTATTCCTGGAATATCTGTTTATTTCTTTCAGCCAACTCTTCTCATACATTGGATGACCCAGGCCTCCTTGGCCTTCTGCAGCAGCCTCTAAACCACTGTCCTTGGTTATGCCTTTTCACTCTCTAGTCCATCTTTTTCACAGAAGCCAGAAGAAGCCTCTTTCAAGGCTTAGCTCTACTGTCACTTCCTCCAGGTAGCCCTCCAGGTTCACTCCTCTGAGCTTCCCATAACCATGTGCTAACACAGTTCAAACACCGTTCATCAATGCCTGGTCATGTGTTTGCCTCCACATAGGCACAGGCGCTCAAAGATGGTTGAAAAGGTGACAGATTGTTGAGAAATAAACTGACATGAAATTTTCATCAAGGCACTGCTAAGGAAACAGGAAAGCTCTGGAATGTGCTGAGTTCAGTGATGTAATCTCAAGTGTGAAAGGACAGCAACTGGAATGCGTGGACTCCATTAGGAAGTAAACCCCTTCCCAATGTCCCAGAGTGTGCAAACCACATACATGACTGGAGGGAGAGCTGGCTTACACGGCCATGTGGGGAGATGTGCTTGCCAACCCTTCTTCTGGTAGCATGTCCTTCTAGGTTCTAGAAGTCAGGAGATAATCTAGTGAACAATGATTGAAATGAATAGCAGCCTCACCAAATTGGGAAATAGGAACTTTTGTTTCTCTTCAGAGGCACCATCGTTTAGTTAAGATGTCTTACAGTTGCTCCAGAATAAGGTATTCCACTAGGCTACCCTGTCCATAAACATGCATCCACCACTAGAACTAAAGGTCAACTTTGCATAGAACCAAGGTAACGAAGCTGGGGCTTTAAGTAACGAAGTAGCTTCTCTAATGACATACGCCCTACATTAAATGGAGTTACTCGTTCCAACATAAAAAAGAATCCTGCCTTTGGTATGTTGGATCATTGGTGTCACTTTATACTTGTAGATCCTAGTTAATCCTTCAGTGGCTTCCCACTGCATTGAGAATGAAACCTTCAACTCCTTACCCCAACCTACAAAGCTCTAACGGCCCCTCTCGCTCCAGCAGCTCCACCCTCAGCTCCCGCGATGGTCTTCCTGCTTGCTGTGTGTCAATCATTCCAGCACTTTCAGATCCCGTAAGTTTTGTCTCAGGATCTTTGCATACATTTCCTCTTCCTGTGCTCACTCCAAGGCGATCTCCTTTTCATTTCCTTATCTCAAAGAAATGCCCCCTCCTAAAAGAATGACCTAAGTCTGTCCAGTCAATAAACTGTCCTAATTTGCGTGTGGGGATTTGAATTTCATTGGCGAAGTCAGGTAATGAAGAATTTTCTGTCTTACCTGAATTTATTTTTTATGTTTTAGCTTTACCTCACCAGGTAATGGCTAAATTTTAACATGAAATCATCAGTTGAAGATTATTAGCATATTGGGCACTTTGATTCACTACAATGGAAGGTAGTATGGAAATATGAATGTGACATCGCCACTGAACATAGATAGCCCACACGATTGGTTGCCTATTCAAGAGCCAAGTCCCATCTGTCTTGTCCATTTTCAAAGAATTCTGATTTAGTTCCAGTTTTCCCAACACCTTCCCAAAGAAGGTGACCTTATCTTCATTTTAGGAGTAAAACTTAATTGCCTAAGCAAGGTTTAGCAATCCCATTTCCCTTATCAGTGATTTGTTATGAAAGGCAGTGACCCAATTCTAGCCAATGTGCTGTGAGGAGAGGGCAGCTTGGGTCTTTTGGGAAAGGTTTCCTTGCTCTTCACCACGTGTTGCCTAGAAGCGCAAAAGCGATCTTACAGCCATGAGGGAGCTACCTTGGGAACAAAGCTAACTCAGAGGGGATGGCAAAGTGGTCTTTTAAGATGTGACTATGCTGCTAAATTAATCAATCTTTCAGTGACCCTATCTCAAGACTTCTGTTTTTCAGATAAAGCGTCCTTATTATCGAAGCCATTTGGAGTTTCGCTTTCTATTACTTGCAGAACAAAGCATCCCAGCACAACACACAAGATTTGATGTTCATAGACTTTTGAACACTAGTTAACATTTTGTGGCTATAAAATGCATGTAGTCATAGGTACTGTTGGTTAAACTACTTACTACATCAATCATCTGCTTTTCATAGACCAGTGGGAGATATGTCAATGACTTTGTACACATCAAAAGCAAAGACACACACAAACAACACACTTTCAGTATGTATCAGTCTGCTCATTAGCCCCAGATCTATGATTTTTCTGAACCATCATCAGCACATTTTACAGAGCACGTTTCTCCTTGTGCACTGCAGACCACCACACCCAGGAAGCAGAACCCTTCCTCTGCTATATTTTGCCACTAGATTGTGTGCTTCACACATGATCAGAGTAGGTCCAAGGAAAGTACGTTTGGAATAGTTACTATCCTTTCATGTTCTTGAGTCACAGAAATCATTGTAGTTTAACTATACCCAATTTCTTAAGTATTGGCACAGTTTAGCTTATTCTTTTAACTGTTAAAGAATTATTGGCACTGTCCTAGATGCTATGGTGACAAGAATCAATAAGCCAACTCTGCTGCTGGTGGTAGTGGTGGTCCCGAAAGACTTCAGAGGAAGTAGTTTTTGAATTAGAGACAAATAGGTATTCAAGTGTGAGGGTTAGGGTGCGAGGATTTCAGAGCTTTGCAGACTTGAAAGTTTAGATAGCATGGTGACCCACAATACTGCTGACAAGAATATAGCACATATCATTGTCCCATATCTGGACATAAGCCTCAACCCCTCAAAGCTGAACAATAAGGCTGACTCAGAACAGAGGACAGTGAATTCTCAGGGAAACTGTCGGTGCCAGCCATCAGGCCTATGGGTGTGTGGGCAAAGCCGCTTTGTTGGGATGTTACAATGCTACTGCTGCTGGGGAGCCATCAGGGGAGCTGTGTGGCAAATGGGATGATTGTTATTTGTGCCCCGGGCGCATCTCAGCCACTGCACGCTTTGCAATCATGTGGCTTTTCATTATAACTGGGCACAAGACCCTTAGACTGTGATACTTTACCAAAATATACTTTAAGTAGGTGACATTTTTTCGCCCCTATGTTACATCATCTTGAGAGATGCTATGATGCAAGAGACAAGTATATAGCTTATGCTCTGTTACTCCCAGTTCATACTTATACTCATGGCAGATACTCATGACTAATCAATCTTGACACCCTTTCTGGCCATGCCTGGATATCACATCAAAGTTCTCCACCACTCTTAAGCCACTACCAATAGATTAGAGTTGAAAAATTCCAACCACAGAGCTCTCACTTACTAGTTTCATGACTGTGCAAATTACTTAACCTCTCTTAGTCTTTCTTCATCTGAAATGATAATCATATCTAACTTGCAAATTACTTCTATAAACTTTGTAAGACAATATAGGTAGGCATTTAATTAGCATAGAGCCTCTGATACATAGGTGCTGAATATAAGTTTTTATTTATTATTATTTTATAATATTACTATTTACTGTTGTTACTACTGCTGCTTTACTTGGTCTGTCCTTTAGTGTTGTCAATCACTTTACCTCTCTCATCTCCTTGTGTCAAGTAAGAGAGGTAAAGGCTAATTAACCCTAGTTCAAAGCCTAGGAAACTGATACACAGAGAATTTGATTTCGCTGATTATTATGTTGTTAATTGTTTTATTTCATGAGCCAGTTTTTCACAAAATAAGTGAACTAGCTACCAAGTCCACAGTAGTATGTGAAATGAGCATTTTCCATAGAACGTCTTGAAGGGGAGACTGTTGGTATGGAAAAGCATCTGGTTCATGTGAAATTTATCTTTTGATCAGATGATAAAGATTATTCTAAATCTGGGGCCTCATAGAGGCTGAGAGTCTGGACCACTTTGTTTAATGAGTAAGTAGTCAGTAGTCAGATGTTTAAAATATAAGTAGTCAGATGACTACTACATCACATCCCAGCTGTATGGTCACAGCAGCATCCTTTTTTTTAAAAAAGATTTTATTGGGGAATTGGGGGATGGGAACAGCATCGGGGACTCAGGGAAGGGGAACAGACAAGTTGCTGTCCTTTTGTTCTTCAGTCTAGTTGTTCAGGATGTTGCTTCACTGGCCCATGTTGGTACTATCATTCCACGCTTCCTGGGTGCTGCAGATCGGTCGCGGGCCATTGGACGGCCACTCACGGAGGCTCTTGGCCGCTCACAGTAGCTCCACTGCAGCCTATGCCACCACCGGTGACTCACGGCAGTCCAGCTCCAGGTCGAGCTGTTGCTCACCATTTTAGCTGTAGAGGGCAGTGTCACTGGCCCTCATGTGGGATCCGAACTGGGGTCATGCTGCTCAGAGCTGGCGTCCCAAGCCAACTCTTAACCAATGCGCCACTAGGCCGGCCCATCTTTTTTTGTTTTTGAAGAAATATATCATTTATCTTGGCAAAGCCTAGTTTTGAAGGTAACAGTTAATAGACTAGGCGAGAGCTCAGTAGGGGGAGCAGTGGATGTTTCTGCTCTCCTTCAGCTATGTTAGGCACCATGCAGTAAGGAGATATGGAGTAAACCACAGCCCTGATGAACTGAGTTGCTTCTTCTCAAACTAATGTT